GTATAATAAAATCTTAACAACCATATTTAATTTCCATTTTCATTCTCTTAATACATAAGAACATCTTAAAACTAACAATACATTTATATAAACATTTAAATATATGTTCAACGTTAAAAATATATATTCATAAAATAAATAACATATGTATATAAAATTGAAAGTAATACCCGCGCGGTTGCGCGGGTAAAGATCTAGTTTATTATATTAAAAGATAAGTCAAGACTCACTTTATGTGTGATATTTTAGTTTGGACCATCCTTAGAATTTTATAAAATTTTACATACCATTATAATATCTTTTCATATTGTTAGTTTTTGTTTGAAATACAAATAAATAGTTTTAAGAAAATTTTGACAAAATCTTTTAAAAATCTTTTATAATCTTTTCAAGATATAGTTTCAAAAATTATTTGATTAAAATTTTAATTATCAAAAAATATAATTAAAATTAAATTCATTTTTTATTTATTAACAAAAAATAAAATTACGTAAAATACTTTTAGAAATATCCCAAAAATTTGTTTATGTATTATGTAGACCTAACTTAACTTACCTTTTACATATATTTCAAATCTAGAAATAAAAAAAAATATATAAATTAGTAATGTTACATAATATTATTGTTAAAAATTGTTACAAAAATACAAATTTATAAATATTATATTAATAATATTATAAGTCACGTAATAGTTATTATAAAATTGGATAGCATACCAAATCAAATTATATTTAATTATTGATAAATTTTATTATATAATTTTAAATATTTTTGTATTAAAATACCCGCATAGTTGTGCGGTTCGAAATCTAGTTTTGTTTTATTATTACAGAAAGAAGATTTGACATAACTAGTCATCAAAGTTGGTGAGTAGCTAAAACATATCGATCTTCTTATTGGCTGACTGTCATCAACTTCAAGATCAAGTACATGGAGTATTGGAGTATTATATTTTCTTTGTTTCCCTTTGTTTTTGTAAAAATCATATATTTGTCGCTGGATCAAGTACCTGCATTATTGGAGTAACACTTACTCCATTTTTTTTAGTAAGAGTCACTTTAACATTTTTTTACACTGATTAAAAAAGTGATTGAAATGTGTGTAAATTGATATTACTTATATCTGTTTGATCAATAATATTCGAGAACAAATACTTTTTTAATAAAATTGATGTAGTTTGCAATTAATTTTTATATTTTATATTCGAATTCTAAAGTAATATTTTTTATTTAACAAAAAAAAAGTTAAAATGACAATTATTATGAAACATAAAAAGTATTATGAATTGTATTCCATTAATTTTGTTTTTTTTTTTTGAGAAAAATTCCATTAATTTTGTTGCGTTTGATAACCAAGTTGGCAAGTTGCAAGATTTTATCAAGTTGGCATCTTGCACCAGCATCACCTTTTCCTTAACTAGAAGATATCGATTTTGAAAGCATGCAATATAAAGAAATAGCTTCTCACTTTCTCAGCTTTCACTGTCTCTTATGCAACCGAATTTGATATAGGATGTGATTGTGATTGTATGGACATTAACTATAGAGTAAATATTCACAGTAAATATTCACTCCAAACTTTGCATACTCCAAAGTCCATTGTAAAAGTACCAATCAAGTAATATACTACTTTTACCCATTTATTCTACTTACTATTTTAAAAAGGAAAAAAAATACACACATCTGAATTTAGTTAGAGTGAAACGATTTATTCTTCTTTTTCTTTTTTTTGGTGCAAAAATTTAAATTCTATACTAATTTTTTCGTGACAAAAATTACGTACAAAAAAATTATTTGGATCCAAGAAACCTAAAGCAACACCAAGAGAAAAAGAAGGAATAACCCCAATGATAACAGACAATAACAAATCTAAACAAAAGGTTTAGTAGCTGAGGAAGAACCGAAATTTGGCAGAGGAAGCATTGCCACACGAGTTGAAGCCTTTGATAAAATATGAGATTACATTTTGGTAGAAATTGGCTTTCCCGCAGCGTTACCCAAAAGATTGACTCATACACACAGCTTTGCCAATCCTAGCCGCTGCAACCACGAGCCTTGCGCCACCACCGTTAGAAGAGAAACTGAGTTTCTAGACTTCCAATCGCAATTCACCCTAGAAATTGTTTTTTTTTCTCGAGTTTAATTTTTTAATTGAGAGAGTAACGTTTTTTTTTTCTAATTACCAACCTATTCTTTTTTTTTGTTCTCTTAACTTTGTCTTCAGTTAGCTCTTGACCACCACTTTTTTTTATCCCATATTACTCTCAATAATACCAATCAAATCATAGTATACCAAAGCATCGATCCATCTTCGAATATTTATTAGAATATTTTAAGGGAACACTACATAAATAATAAAATAGTTAAAAGCTGTAAACACCGCCTCATAATGAGTCGCCCCACAACTAATTTTATGATAATATATAAACCAAAAACAAGTGAGATATATTCAAGTGGGACACATGCTGACATGACAATATAGTCAGTGTAGAGGGTAGGCTGAATATTACCACGCATGTCAAACGGCACGCACTTGTAATTCTTCGTTGAAACTGAAATGAGAATCCATAAACACTTCAACATATGGTTTGTTTTCGTATTTTTCATCTCTTCCTCTCTAGGTTATGTTCCCTACATGGCAACACTTCTCATTATTGCGGATTGGTTGTAATTTGTACTCATTGTAAACAGCTACATATATGGATGTATACATCATTTCTCCCAGTGGAACATGACTACATTTTTATGTTAAAAACATGGCTACATTTTACAATACTGCGAATTGGTTTTATAATATGTGTTCATTATAAATATCTACATATATAGATGTAATCATTCCATGATTCTTAACTAATCGACAAAAAAATAACACTGAACTCCATTATTAGTAAACAATAGAATTTCGTATGGAGTACACAAATCTCAAAATATATTAAAAAGAAATCTAACCAAACATGCATAAGTTAATTTTAAGCGAAGATAGGAAATCACGATTCTTCAAATAAAGTGATATTACTCAGCACGGGTAAAGTATACTACAATACAACTAAATAAACGTGAAAAATCAACCTTTGTACCAAAAAAAATACACGTGAAATAATTTATCATGATACTTCAAAGGTTTTATTTACTAACCAACCAAAAAAAAAAATATCACGAGAATCCGATTTTGATCCATCTATTTTTAAAGTAAAAATCTACATTTGTAGTATGGTTTCATGGCAATTTGTTTGCGTAGACGAACGTCACACTAGACGAAATACCACATCTCTAATATTCTTTTCCTCAAAACTAAATATTTTATAAATAGATAAAATTTTCCTAATATAAATATATATATTTTAAATAAATAAATTGTATTTATTCTTCTAAATAAATATTAGAATCTTACAAAAGAGCAGCGTAAATCACATTTCCCGAAATAGTAATTCAGAAGAGAAAATAATAAACTGATTTCCCATTTTTTTCCATTTATAAATATTTTATGTTTTCTCATTCAGGTCACCTGAGATTGAGAACCGCTTCCTTCCCCGGCTTTCCTAGCCATAGCTTCAGTAACCGTCGCCAGCTTCTGCAGGTTAAGTTTCACAACAGTATCCGCAAACATACGCGTATCGTCCTCCGAGTTCCCTTCCGGCATATCCACGACGTACGACTCAAGCACCACCGTCCAAACCCTCTCCTCCTCCTCGAACCTGTGCACCGTCGTCACCGACTTGTAGTTCCTCAGCCTGTGCTCGCCTCCTATGACGCTGAATCCCGTCACCCGCCTCTCGTCGTCGAGCACGTCGAGCCTCTCCGTCGACGTGTTCGCCGGCAACCCGCTGATCACGGTCACGTCGCGCGTGCACCCGACGCGCGTCTCGAAGCCTTCTTGGACGGAGCAGGACTTGATGAAGTGCTTGTAGGTCTGCGGTTTGTCGAACTGGCGGACGACGGACCAGACGATCTCCGGCGGCGCGTGGATGCGTTGCGCGTGGAGGGAGGAGCAGCGTCCGGGGCCGAGGTGGTGAGTGTGGAACTCGGCGATGGAGTGGGAGAGTTCGGAGCGTTCTTGCTGAGTTAACTCGGAAGGCATCGTTGATGTTACTTTTTTTGTGTGTGTGTGTATTTATTCAGTTTGGTTAGTATTCACCATTTGACATGACGATGTCAAAACTCTCTCTATACGTATTTATTGGTGAAGCTGAGGGAGGAGAGAGATGAATTCGAGGGAAAGATGAAGGGTAAATGTTGAAATATACGATACATTTGAGACTGGAAGTGTCACTTCAAGAAATGGAATCTAATTAATTTTATTAGTTTTTTCAGTTGACGTTGAGTTTCGAAATCTTTTATAGTTTCAGTGACTTGACTTGTCGGATTTGGAAGAAAAAAATATGGGAACAGACATATAAATATATTGTAAAATTCAGCGATTTAAAAATACAAATATTTTTTTTGTTGAACAATTTTATAAAATTTACATGAATTATAATTTTAAATAATTTGAAGCTGCTATATGGTGCTTAGGTTTCAAACACTGTTTTTCTTTTATATTTGATTCTAACTCTCGGTTGAATAAGTAGACTCGTATATTCTTTCTATTTCGTAATGTAACGTGTTTTAGAAAAAAACTTGATTTCAAAAAGAAACACTTTTTTACATTTTTCAAGATATATTTTTATCAAATAATAATAATTAATTAAAATTTTCAAAAAACTTAATGACACTTATTAAATTTTCATTAATTTAAATTTATAAGAAAATGATAATCACAAAAAACTATGTATTTATTATATGTTTTATTAATATGAGTGAAAAACTAAAATATATAACAAATTGAAACAGATGGAATATAATTTAGTTCAAATTTAATGAAAAATCTATTAATCAAAAATCAGATAAAATCTAATAACAGTCTAAAACCTCGTAATTTATCCGCGATATGATATCAGTTGAACATATAAAAATTCTCAAAAAGTCTGATAATATTATTCTAAAAATTGTATAAATTTCTCCAATGTTTTTGATATTGCATAGAATTTCATAAATCTGTGATTCCTTAAATTTTAATTAAAAAATTATTATGTCATTTGAAAAAATGGCAATTGAAAAAGATAAATTTTTTTGATAAGTATAAGTTTATTTTCGTTGTTAGTTAGCTATTATAGGTTTGTGTTTTCATTTATTTTTGGGTGAATGAAATCTTAGTTTAATATATCCATCAGCCCAATTAAATGGTATTGACCCACAATGCAACCTCTAATGATTTAAATGATGTGACAGTATAAGATGTAGTTAACGTTTAAAAAACAAATGATTATGTCATTAAGGAGAGTTTTAATTACTTTGAAAATATAATGGTTTTAGTTGTAATATTTACCGTTTTATTAAGGTCAATTAATACAAATGATCCTCTTTGATAGTTTTGATCTATATTTGAAAATTTAGAAAAGTGAAATGTATGCAAGAAAATTTTCTGATAATATTGTGATCGACGTGAGGTTAATCAGTTTATATGAATCTCACTGAGTGGTTCATTGATCAATCAAAATTTGTTCAAGTATTTGAGTGTTGGAGTATAATTACAATTTAAAGGCTGGATTAAGGAGCTAGATACCCGAGGTTTTTACTTGAGCAATCAATAGTGTTTGTAATCCTTTTGTTGATAAGTAATGACCAAAGAGACTGCCACTCGTATTACATGACATGTGTGGACCCTTCTCACACCGAGTGAAAAATATAGGAGTATATGCTCTCAGGATATGTGAAAGAAGCAAGTAAGATGTCAACAATTCCAAACTTGGTTGCTCAAATGATTGCTTAGAATTAATTGCTCAACAATGATTGGATATATCCAAATCCTAGACCAAAGCTCTGTTTTGAGACTGTCATTTTCCTCCATGACATCTTTTCATTTCTTTTTCTTCGCCGAAGTCTTCTTTTTGGTGTAATCTTCGCCCGAAATCTTGAGACCAAGATATCAATCTTACCACATAGTTCCATAAGAAGAACATTGCAAAGGCTAGCAGTTTGATGATTTCGTCTTCCTCCGTTAATAAAAATCTTTTTGCCAACCAATCAATATATTGCCGGTTACGTATTTCCGTTTTGCATGGTGAAACAATTAAATTGATATCTTCGATAATTAACTCTTGTAATTTGACAATTTTGTACAAAACATAAAAAAATTTAGTGTTTTTGTTTGTAAAATATATTCATTTTCTTTTTAATATATGACATTTTAGAGAATTATTTTCATTTTATATTAGATGACATTTTTAATTTATAAATTTCAATGCAAATTTATTCATTTTTATAATATATTTTCACTTTTATTTTTATTATTAAATTTAGGCGATGGGATAAGATACTCTCGTTATGCAAAAATTATCTATTTATAATTAAATTATTATAATGTGCTAAATTAGTTATTAAAAAAATATTGATAATGATGCAATTGCCACCACATGTTAATGATGAGGCGTAGATATATTTGAATATGTTAAAAAGGTGTGATCGGAAATCTAGAGACTGGAGGTCTGAACTGAAACACTAGAGACGTGTATCAAAATAAGTTTTAGGGTTTTAGATTGAATAACCCTTCGATAACTTAATTGACAATCCCCAAAATCTTGAAGGTAAAATCTACTCTCATGTCTCACTATAGTATGTGCAGATGGCAGATCTCAACGGCGGGAGTAAAACTTCTTTCTACGGGACTCTCTTTGGTCTGGAAGAAGACGTCCACTGAGATGACTCTACGAAATAAATTAGTTGGAGGCGCCCAAATGAGGCCTCGATATGCTTGTGGATGGAATTTTGCCGTCCATTATCCGAAAGGGATGTCATAATATCCGTGGGGGCGTCTCTCATTTGACATGATGGTGACGTTGACAAAGAATGAGATCTTGTCCAGTTTCTCACACCAAACGTTACCATCCAAGGGGTCTTCATTACTCTCCAGCTAGGTCTCCTATATCAGTTGTCCCCACTATTCAAGAAGGTCCGGCTCCAATGTCTAATGAAGGGAGCGGTTCTGGATAATATGTTGTAACTGCGGGGCATCAGCGTGTCTCCATCAAACCAAACCATGAACGTGATCTTAACGACGCATGTGAGGTATGCGAAGTTTTAATCTCATTTGCAGCTTAATATGACCCGTACCTGAAATGTTATCAGCACAACTTACTCAGAATCGATTAGGTATTAAGTTGAATAACAATATGATAGTTAAGATCTACTAAACTGATGGTAGGTGTCCTCATCGATTACCATCTGTGTCAGGTCATGTGAGTTTTGCAGGATATATGTAACACATAGGAACCTTTATGTTGCATATGCGTGCTACCCATAATTGATAACGGAGTGCAACTTCCCTGGAAAATATCTCGATATGATAGGCACCTTTTCAAATGATACCTGAAAACTTTACACACAGATAAAATTTACTGATTGACATAAGACTCTAGGTTTCTCATTTTGTAAGAGTACCCAAGGAGTTATAAACAACAAAAAACGAAACACAGAGAAACGTAGCAAAATAAAAAAAGAGAAACACATAGAGCATATTATTACATATACACATCATGGTGCACTGATCAAATCAAGCCTTGTTTCTCTCACACTATTTCTCAACTAAGGAAAAGCCATTCATCAATAGAGTTCACTCGTTCCACGAGTTAAGAAGATTGGTAAAAATGGGGTCACAAAAGTTATATAAAACGGAGCTTATGAGAATAGCATTTTGGTATCAAAAGGACCATGCTTTTGGCATGAACCTGGTTTAGAGTTAGGATAGGCCTAGATTTGAACCCACATTTACTTCTATGTTGGAGTCCATTTTTGATCCATGTTAGTGTCTATAATCAGATCTATATTAGGAAGTGCGTCCAGACCTAGGCTTGGGGTCTATGTTTAAGCTTAGCTTTACGATTTTACAATAACTTTGATTTGTTGATATTGTCTTTGAGATAATGTATTTTTCTGATATCTGCATAAAGGGAAAGACTGGGACAGAGCCTAAAGATATATAGATTGGACGTATGTAGTAGTCAGTTCCAGTGGTGAAATGATTGCTTTCGTCAATCTCAAAGACTCATGTTTCTGAATTTTGCATTGGCCATCCCAAACAATTTGGGTTACCACTACAAGTTCCTCTTCACTTTATTTGTTATCTATTCTTGAACCAGTGGTCAATACCAATGCTCCAAAATACTCAGTCTATAATTCACCTAAAAAGGTCAAAACCATATTTTTTTTTTCTCCCTTTCAATTTAGTTGTCGTTCTGAAGTAAATTTTTCATTTTAAAATAAATGTATATTTTATGATTTCAAGGCAAAATTTATTAACTTTATATAATATTCTATTTTTCTATTGGTTAAAATGTGGTTAAGTTTATATGTAATGATGTTTTTAATCTAAAAATATATAAAATTAAATGTTTTCTTCATCCGTATGCGTAAATCTAAAACGACAATTAAAATGAAACATGAGTAAAAGATTGAGTTTTAGACTATAAAATCTAAGATAATGCAAAAGCCTATAAAATGCATAAATGCAACACCTAAATTATCTAAGATCAGATTATTGATGAAATAACAGTTACAGACTTAAAGAAACATTCGTGTTTCAAACTCATCTTTGATATAAGAGATGACAAAACTACAAAAATTCGAAAATTTAACCCATCATATTAATTAATACAAATTCCACATTTGGTTCCATATCATAAACCTATAAAGGACATCCTACAAGAAATCATTTAATAACCGGATATAGTCTCTCATAAATTGATGTTATTCGCAGACTCTGACTCTTTATGGGTTTTAGGTATGCGTGAAAAAATAATTAAAGGCGAAAGCATATGGATGTATTGACACTGATTAGACCTGACGGTTCATAAGAGCTAAACTTGGTAATGGAAGGCAGAGATAAGCTCCTGGTGGGTACAACTGGACCCTCTTTGGATCAGTCAGAACTCGTGAGACAGCCATCCCAATCACTGCTAATCCGTGGTGCTCATTCACTAGCTGTCGAGGAGCTCCTTGTTCAATTACCTACGTTCCCCTTACCATCTCTTCACCACGAACCTGACACCTACGTTTGACCACTCCGATTTCTCAGCCTCCAAGAGGTGAGAAATCATTTAGGCAGAGAAATCAGCGACAACCATGGAGCTCTAACACTTGGTTCCGGAGCCATTACAAGACAGGCGACTTGGTTTTCACACGTGGACGGCTTTCAACGATTGGATCAGCATCTCCAGCGCTTCAACAC